GTGGGCACTTAAGGTCTTGAATGTCATGTTAGAATGATTAGTTGCAAAACTATGAAAAAGATGTTTTGTGGCCAAATGCTGTCAGGGTGTAAAAAAAAAAAAAATCGGTTCAGTTATGCTTTTGTATCTTGGCATGACCTACTATGCTTATAGTCTACACTGGAATATTGAGACATTAAACAATGGAATATATATGTAGAATATATGTGGCAGCCTAAAATATCCCATGAAATATTCCAGTAGTAGCTCCCAGGGGAAACAGAAGAAAAATGTGTTAGTGTTTCCCCAGGCCATTCCTGAAATATATGCCATGTAATGTGCCTGGGTGTCTTATTCTTTAAGGACACATAAGCCTCCTGATTTTTGATCTATGAACGTCAGAACTTTTGAAGTTCTGAACACTACTGGATATTTGAAGAAACTCAGAGGCCAAAATTCACCCTGGGGCCGAGGTAAGTTGCTGACACATAATATGCCTTGTGGCAGTTCCCCGAAACCAGAGAGGAACAGTATTAAAAAACAATATTTGATGTCTTGGCATTTCGTCTGACACCACACTGAGAACAGAATTGTACTGGGTCAGGGCAGGCTCAAAATTTTTTCTAGCTCTGGCTGCACTGACTTGAATCTGAACTGGCTCTGAATTGAACGAGAGCAGCTGACTTCAAGTGGAAGTGCCCAACATCTCCTCCTTAACTGTGGGACAAAATGCTGCTTGTCTCAGATTCCCTGTCCCTTCAAGAAATGTACTCAGAAGTATCAAGGTAAGAAAAAAAATTGACTTTTACATTTCCATGGTGTTTTCCTTTACGTGTTTGCACTGTGCCATGGAAATACCCCTGTCCTCAAGGAAGGGTAAGGGCAAAACCAGAATTCAATTCTGTTCTCAATGTGGCATCAGGTGAAATGCCAAGAGACCAAGTACTGGTTTTTAATACTGTTGCTGCCTGGTTTCAGGGGAGCTGCCACGAGGCATGCCCAAGCAGCTATGATTCAAGATGGAACCCACAGCTTGCAGGGAAATGGGAGCTTCTACAGAAATGAGGGATTAAGAAGGAATGGAAAAGGAGTTCCTAACTTCTCTGGGAACAAACTGGAAGCCCAGTTCCAATGAAAAAAAGTACTTCAAGGAAATACTGGTGAATTAAGGACAAAAAAAAAAAAAAAAGGAGGTTTGAGTACCTTTTCATCTCAGCCCAAAGGGTAACTAAAGCCACTGTGATCTAAAATGTTCTCTTCTGTCTATCACCTCTTCTAAATTTCTGTTCTTTCATGTGGTGTAAGGCATGTCTTTGCATGATCTTATGCTATAATTGTTTAGGTCAATGGAGATCTAATGGTTACACCACTGGTCTCCAGGAAGTTTGTGAGGGTCTCCTGGGCATTCCAGACATTCCAGCCCATAACTGCTGTTGCAAACTGTATCAACAAATCTCAGTACTGTTGTAAATTTCAAAGTAAGGAGGACAGGGAGTTCCTTCTTTCAAAATAAAATTGTTTTTTTCACTCCTTCACATGCACGCTGTCATATCCACCTATTTGAAAGCAGCTAAAGGTGTATTTCCACCTAGCTGGACAAAAATACTGGAGGACAGAGGAAAAGAGACACAACCTCTGGAGGCCTCTTCATGTCTCCTGAATTGTCCCTGCCTGGGTGTCCTTGGAAGATTCACATAGATGTGACCTTGATGAATCGCTAGTGTGAATGTTATCAACATTTGCCATTCTCACAGCCCTTTTTCTGTCAGTCCTGAGGCTACCATGCTCGGAACTTCTGCTTCACACCTGGTTGTACCAGCCACCAAACCACTGACCTGCTCATAGATCTGAAAAGGTCTCTTGCCATCCACTCAGTCAGGGAAAAGTCAGCAATGGATATAGACCTGTACACTCTGGGTTGGGGCAATTCAGGGATCTAGTCTTATCTCTGGGACCCACTCCAGTGCTTCATGATGCTCACACGTATATTCAGTTTCAATCCTTATCTCAACCCTGAAACTCTTGTGTCAGGAGATGCCGTCTCTCACCATCCCACAAGGCAGTGCTGGGAAGTGACTATCCTCATCCCCTTGATGCCTTTCCCATAAGCACTGCAATGACCGGTGAGGTGCCACAATGACCTCTCCTCGATGTCCAACCAGCCCTAAGGCCGCAGCCTCTACTTGCCTCCCTGAGCCATAACGTCTCTGGGACCCCAAATGGGATGCAGTGCCCAGGTGGGGCTGGAAGGGTATTGAGCAGAGGGGATCAAACTTGTGCCCTCTGGCTAGGGGAGAAAGACAGGAGAAAACCCATGAGAGTGAGTGTGTCATATTCCATTCCATTCCATTCCAATTCATTTAATTCCTGTACGTGGCAGTTCTGTGTGAAAAGAACTGGGAATCCTGTCTGGGCGGAGCAGAGACCAGCCAGCTCTGCTATGATGTACCCATGGTACCTGCTTTTGAGTGATTACCTCTCACATCCTTCTGTTCTCTCTACTAATACATTTAAGTTCTCAGAGAAAATGTGGGAGAATGTACACATTCTAACGGGGTACAAGCAAAGAAGAGGAAGATATTCTGCCAGAGATAAGGTTGCTTTCCTGCGTTCAATGTTCCTTCACATCACTCACAAAATAGGCCTTATGGGTTTCAGCAAGGCCACTGCCCACATTAGACAGCGGACAACTTCTTAATGCATTTAAGTGTACAGTTATTAATAAAAGGTACCACTTCTCCCTCCCATCTCCAAATACACTCCTTTAGGTCCACAACAGCAAAAAATAAGATGTGTAATATCTATTCCAAGTTCTCTGTACTTCTATTGTAAATCAATGTGACAACAGCAGGGTGCGACTGTGGCCCCTCAGCATCCACCTCTCTTGCCTCCAATAAAGACCTTGATGCTTTCCAAGCTGTGTGTGCTTCTTGACCCAAGAACAACCTGATAATGGAGGCACTGGAGCATCGACCTGCTCTGAGCAAAGGCTGAGTGAGCTGGGACTTTTTAGCCCGGTGAAGAGAAGGCTCAGAGGAGATCTGATCAGTGCGTCAAAGGCCTGAAGGGAGGCTGCAAAGAAGACAGAGCAGGACTCTTGCCAGTGGTGCCCCGTGAGAAGAGAGGGGATGTTGAAGAGCACTCTGGACACGATCCTGGCTAAATGGCTGGAGCTGCCTCTGCTGGAGCAGGCAGCCTTGGCAAGATGACCTCTAATCGTGCCTTTCCATGATTCTGTGAAAGCACCTGAGTTGTGTAAGGAGTCTGTGCTAATAACTTCATTTTGGTTATAGAAAGTGAATAAAGAAAGGACAGCGCAACAATTGTGCTCTGCTCGTACTTGTTAGCCATCCTCAGGACACAGAGCAGGCTGCAGGACACAGGTGCAGTTTCTGCTGCTAAGTAAATACACTGAAACCTAGGGCTGCTAGCAAAGACCCATCACCATTATACTGCAGGATAACTAGTTTCCCTCTCTCCTGCTGACCTTGTCATCTTTATTTTGGCTGAAACCAGTCGGTCTTGTTGACTTGGTGAGTACTTCTCGGTGTTGTTCTTGTCTTCAAGGATGAAGAAAATGAGCTTTAGAGGAAATTATTCACCAGGGAACACCATCACAATCTCCCATCTCTACTTCCATTATTAGAAATAAACCAAACTGTTACTGACCCTCACTCCTAGCCGTCTTCTTCATTTTCTTCTTGCTCTCTAACATATCATTCATGTTTTCAGACAACCGACTCTGTCGGTGACAAACACATAACCACTGGAAGGTAGTTATATGCGGTGCTTTATTTCGCGGGCCCGGGAACCAGGGGTAGTCACCCAAATCTGGTTCGCCGACGACCGTGTCAACTTACAATTTATACCCTCACGATTATACAATTTCATACATATTCAATAGTCACCCCATCACCTCTTATTACATATTCATTAGGGATTGCTTCATAGATTGCGTCATTCTGGCGACATTCCAGTCCCTTCTAGTGGTCTTCGGTGGTCGTTTCTGATGAAGTAAGACGTCTTCCTCGCTGTGTACTTTTTACCTTTCGTCCTTCTGGTAGGTTTCCAGGCCCGTTTTAGATGCCTATCTCCTCCTTATTCTTCTTGACTTTTCAGGCGTCCTCGGTGTGCCGCTTCAGTAGCTTTAAACTATACCCCTCTCCCATTATTATAGAATGCAGTACCAGATCACAAATATACAAAGATTTTACACCAAGTTCAGAACACCTCGTATTTTCCAACAACTCCATAGTCATGTTCTGTCATTTACAGCATCTTTAACCCTTTCTGTCCAATATTTCCTTAATATGCCTAGGTACCATACGACCAGGCTAGAATTATGTCCTCCAAAGTGAGTAAATAAAGTTAAAAATGAAGTATGTGTATAGAACAAAGTTTTTAAGAGTAAATAATATAATTTAATTTAATTGAATAATGTAATCTATTAAGTATTCAATAAAATAAATTGTCCTAAAAAAGTAACTCCCTATAGTTTTTTAAAGACTGAATACCATAATATTGCTTCAGAAAACATTCATACAAATATAGTATATATATATAAAAAAAGTACACAAACAGGAACGCAGCTTACCCATGTGTATTTAGTAATCTTTGTAAAAAGCTATTCTGCTTGTAATTTTAAGTTTCAGAAATGAAATGCTTGGTCCATATGATTCAAATTTTTAGCCAGCAGTGTATATAACTTCCTATATTCACGTAATCTTATCTACCTCTTTAACGAATTAAGCAAACAGTGATAAATATTATAGTCTTGTTTTTCAGCACTAACACTCTATAACAAAAATGTTCTCTGAAGTTTGTATGGTTAAGCTTAAAAAATGTGTTAATCAGTAAATATATCTAACAAGACCGTTGTACATATTCCAGGGGATACATAAAAATATGAGATAAATGCTATATGAAATGTTTGCTGTAGACTAAATGTATTTTATTTAGAAGTATACAGAAACATCATTAAGCTTCTTCTATTACACTGAAACAGTCATTTCAACAGTTTATTTCCTTTGATACAACTCTACCTCTTGCTGCATATGGTCATTTTAAGTATATAAACTAGCAAAGCATAACTGACTTCTTTCTCTTTTAACAATTAACTCTCAACACATTTAGCAAACACACTGTGTTCCAAGATACAATGTCCGATTTCCTTTCAGTCACATGCTCAAAGACGGCTGCAAAGTTGAGGTACTACAGAATAGGAGGCCTGGGAGATCCAGGAGACAGAGAGGAGTCTTAGCTGTACATCCAGGCATGCAGCCACCAGTCAAACACCATGGGTGTGGAGCTTCAAGAGAACACCTTCTTGGATAAAACTAACATCTTCAGATTATGCATGCAACCTTCCTATGAGTGACACACAGAGGCAGAAAGGATCTAACTGAATACAGGACAAAAATCAAAATATAAAATCAAAAAGTTGGTAAGAAAATATTTGTTTACTTATCATTCAGATGCTGGAAAAAAAGCACTGGTTATGAATGTAGTTAAATTATAATGTTTGAATTTCTTTTGTAGGTAATCTCTTACTATTTACACAAAACACTGTATGTATCTGAAGTCAGATCAGACTCACTCCTAAATTTGCTGGCATTATACTTTTCTGAAGTTCTCTTTTCTGTCTCTCTGTCTCAATCAGATAAACGTCTTAATCTATTCTTATTAATTAAACAGTACAGTGAGCTTCAAAACTGAACTTTTGCTGACTATTCATTAGATTGCTTTTAGCAAAGGTAGCAGGTTGTTTTAATGAAAAAGCTGGTAGATTACTTGGAAAACAGAATACTTACTTGAATTGTTAGTGAATGTTTGGGCTTATTGTATTTGGAAACTTTCCCTGCTTGCCATTATTCATGCGGTTGCCTAAATACTGCAAAATAGTTAATTGTGCATTCCCGTATCATTGACTATTTTCTTAGTCTTTTGTGTTATACTATAAGCTCAAGCTATAAGTAACCAGAAATAGTTAAGAATTTCAGTTTTCATTAAAAGGAAATGTTTTCAATCCTTGTGATTTTAGAGGAAAAGCAGAAAAGACACGAAGAGGAACAAAGGAGAGAGCGTAAGTAAACAAAACTCCATGTTTCCCCACTTTCTGACTCTATAGCATGAAAAAATCCAGACAAACCAAAACCAGTGAGTTTGGTGGTGAATTTTCTTGAATTCAATTGCAATTTTGTTTCTCCAAATTTCAAAGCAAACGATGTATAGCAACTGTTCAAAAAAACTAAGGCTATTAAAAGGCTATTTCTATCTTGAAAATGTATTTTTTCCAGAACAGAAATCTGGGTAACTGATGAATCACTATTTAAAGTTTGTATGAGGGATATGCACTTCTAGGATCATTGCAATTTTAACTGTAAGGGCAATCACACAAAGACTATGATCTCAGGTATTTCAGAGAGATCTTGGCTACCTCTGAGAACTAAGACAGGAACTTGACATTGGGGCCAATACACAGGCCTGTTCACATTCCCCTGGGACTGGAGAACATTTCTGGATGGTCTTGCCTCCTCTTTAACTGACTGAATGCTTCCTGTGCTCCTTCTCTCCCCTGCCTCCCAGACCTACTCTCGATGTGCCTGCAAAGTTGTGGACATGTAGTAGCTCGATATCTGAGGTGGCAGCTCTGTTGTTTTGTTTTCCCTTTCTCTAAGAGAATAACCCCAGATCAGAGCCAGGCAAAGAGAAAGGGAGTTCAGACTGAGAAGAGCTAGCAGTCAGTTTTCATTAGCGTAATAATTTTTGGCATAGAATGACCCTTGTTAGATAAACAAATGAAGACTAAGGACTGGAAATACCAGATTGCCCATTAATTAAAACAAGGCTGAAGGAATTACTCAGTTATTTCAAGCTAATTGCTCAAATGCACTTTCCAAGACTTCAGGGAAAATATCCCAGAGCATACTGACTGACTGGAATAATTTTATTTCTGACCACGCAGAGATACAAATCTGGATACACAAGCAGCAAAATTCCTCTGTGTGAAACTTGGTGAAATGAACTCAAAGGAGAGCTAACACAGTCAGATTTCAAGCATTTATCTTTTCCTTTGACAGAAGGCCTTCACAAAAAATACCCCAACCAAACCATGCCAAAACTTGGCAGTAGATGATAGTGTAAGAAAAATACAAAGGTTTTGCTTAGACTGCATGTATCAAGCATGTATTTGATAAGACCGGGGACCACTGAGTTGTTTGCATTTACAGCTAAATTGTGAGTTATTCATCATAGTGTATAAACATTTATTTTCTTTCAAAGTACCTTGAGTTTCTCTAGATTTAAGAAAATATTTCACTGTTCTGAGTAGCTCCTTTGGAATGCGGATTAAATCCCGGTGCGTGTACCTTTTGTGAATGTTTTGGAGAATCCTGCAGTCCAGTATCAAAAGCAAGCTAGGTTGTACCACCAGATACTCAGCCACAAGCAAGTATCAGGCTTGTCACTCCAGGCATAGGGCAGGTCATGGCAGTACGACTCTTGGACTGCAGCTGACTGAATGCTCTAGTCTCACTCAGAGGGGTGCATACTCTTTATTAATAGTCGCTCTGTCCTAATGTTCATTCCTTCTCCATATATATATTGTTCCTTTTTTCCTTTATATTTTCCTTTGTTTAACTTGTATTTTCCTTTCCCATAAACAGTATTTTGCTCGAACAATTCTAAAACAAGGGATTGGTGGGCCTTTTTATGCACATTCAAGTATGAAAAGGGTGAACTGAAATGAATCCTGAAACAACTCTTCAGAAAAAAAAATGTTTCATGTAGCATGCTTTAGTCTTTTGTCTGTTTTATTCTACTACAAGTTCTTGCTTATACACCATGGCTATATCTGGCAATAGAAGTAATGTAAGACTGCTATAGCCAGTCTATTATTTATTGAGTTAACTTCTGATCTTGCCTAAAATAAACCTAGGGCTGAGCCAACTCTTATGGCATCCTCCCTTTTATTCATTTTCTATTGATGGTATGTCTATGTATTTATTGCTTCAGTTTATAAACTCTGCCATTTAGACTTCCCCCAGAGTTAAATTTGCCGTCTGGAGCTCTGGTGAATCCTGTATGCTTGTACATGTGGCAAAGCAAAATTGATAAACGTTTCCAAGTCATAGTCATGGAGAATTTAATACCCAGGAAGGTCATGAGGTCTTCTTTTTGTGCTGTTGGCCAGTAAATAACAACATTCCAAGAAAGCCAGAAAGCCAATGAGGGAGCCATATGAAGTGAAACATGAGGTGTTTTAATGGCACTTTTGCTGTAAGAGTAAACTCATAGCTACTTTAATTTTTTTAATATATGAAAGAAAAAAAATTGCCTGTGACATTACATTATAAGGAAGAATAATCTGCAGACTTCAGGATAACTACAAATGTCCTTTTACAAATTATAGAGTTCAGGAAGTGATGGTTTAAAAATTCTGTTTATAATCTTAAAATGTCATGCATCACGTACTTTAACCTAGTTTATATGTTTGTATGCAATTAATGCCACAATGCTTAAATTTTTTAGCTGCTCTTTTACCCATACAAATGCAAATAAGGTTGATGAACCTTGTACCAAAAGTACAGCTTGTCAGTAAAATATTTCTAAAGAACAGTGGAGAAAAAATCATTTAGAAAAGCCTCCCAGACTGCTGAAGTGTTCCAGAATCCTAGATTGTCACATAAGGTGTTTCAAATATTTGCAGTAATGATGACTGAAACTTTGAAACGGAGACTGGTCAATATTACACATATCAAGCTGTAGTGGTCCTGCATGATCTTCACAAGTTCTCCTCTATGACCATTTGCAAATATGGCGATTAATGGTTGTTTGAAATACATTAACAAAGTTAATAATTCTTATGCTAGAAAGGGTTTTTTCCAAATCTTAGCAAGTTTTTGTGCAATTTGTTTGAGACTTCAGGGTACTATTGTAAATAATGGAAATAATAGATATAATGCGAAGTTATTAAACACCATTTACTGCAAATGGCAGAAAATCCTAAAGTGAAAACTGGCTACTTCAGAAGATGCAGAAGGTTGACAGTATATAGCCTGAAATTTGTGTGTGTTCATCAGACTATTCAAACCAAGGGAGGATTAGATGATGGTCTCAAATTCTATTGCACCTAAAAACCAACTCAGTCAGCAAAGAAAAAGCATATTTGGTGCATCTTACAGATGCACGATACATAATGCACTTTCATAATATACATACAATACTATATGATTTAATTGTTTGTTTCCATTTTTTTATGGTTTGCCATGGTACAATAAAAGAACTAGAAAAAAATTTTACCCCAAGTTAAAAAAAAAAGTGTCAAATTGTTTCCTGAGATTATTATCTTCTTTTATTTGTTCTTTGGATACTTTTTACATTTCTAAATTTCCATCTTCTATTTAATTGTCAATGTCTTTTTAATTCTACTCTCATCCTGGCCACATTCTTTACTCTGAATGAACTCCTCTGTCCTTATAAACTCCACAATCTTTTTTTTGCTTTATACTCCCTTTTTCTTTTTTATATTGTTCTGCTCCTTTGTATTCTAATAAACTCCCATATGGTATTTTTAAACCTTCTCAGATTAACTGGTGGAATTGTAATTAGCTTATTAACTTCCAGTCTCTGTCTTAAAACTCATTGCTAATTACATTAATGTATTGCATTTTATATCTCTGAAATATCTAATCTATTATTTCCCTCCCTAAGCATGCTATGCACGTGGCTTTCGACAACTGCTGGAGGAATAGTGGTGCTGTGGTTCTCTCTGAAGCTCTTTTTCCCATATTTCTGGGAAGATCTGATTTACTTCTTGAGGCGGAAGAGGTTAAAGGCAAGGATAAAGAGACGGGCAAGGAATGGAATTCTCTCCATAATTGACCTTTTCCTGCAGAGAGTGGAAAAGATTCCCCACAAGTCATTCCTCATCTATGAAGGGAAGGTGCATACCTATCACAATGTGGACAGGAGGAGTAACAGGGTAGCACAGGTTTTGTTACAGTATGGGAATCTGAAGAAAGGTGACACTGTGGCCCTGTTGATGGGTAATGGACCTGACTTCATCCATGTCTGGTTTGGGCTGGCCAAGCTGGGCTGTGTGGTGGCTTTTCTCAACTTCAATGTGCACTCTAGATCCCTCCTGCACTGCATTAACACATGTGGAGCAAAAGCACTGGTGATAGGAGAAGGTAAGTTCTGTATTGTTTTTGACTCACTACTGAATTTCTACTGCCTTATGCTTTTTATCAAAAATAGAATATCAGAGCCATTTAAAGCTGCAAGCACTGCATATATACATACACAGGTGCTAGCTAAAAAAGAGGGGAAAGATACAGTACTGTTTAAATTTCAAGTGTTTATGCACCAAAAATATGTGCAATTAGTATAATAAAAGGGTTGAATCTGAAACTCTTCATGTACTGGACAATGCACCAGCAGAAACAATCATTCACCAGCAAGTAAACAGCCTGGGGAGATACTTTAGAATAATTTCATTTCCATTTCTATCGATTGGCTTATATAGGTACAACTCCACTGACTACAGGAACACTCAGGTTCCTTTTGTTAGTGACTGAGATCAGCCCAAAAATTTTTACATAGAAACTTACGGTTACTTTATAACTATTTTAAAGCAGTGATCCAAAGGTAGTGTTTAGAGCAGAGTACAGCATGCTGAGCTATAATTTTGACCCTCTTACTGGCATGTTATGTAATACTGGGCAATTTATTTAACCTTTCTCCTCTTTTCCCATCCTTAGTACAGGTTGGCAATACTTCCATAACTCCACGTGAACCCATGAGGGCTCACTAGTTGGGATGTGTACCAAGCTTTAAAACAAATGTTATAACATACCGGTTGGATTAAATTCTATATATTACTGTCATCAAGTAAGCTCAGGGAGTTTTACCTATTACAATTAAAGCCATGTGGGGATTAAAGGGAAATTATACATAACGATTTTTTTTACATTAACCAATATGTGTGTTGGTCCTGCTGCGGGCTGTGGTAGGTTCACTGTATGCAGGGGTAGGGTATATAATTCCAGGTAATCAGGTCTGTAGTTCTAATTATTTTAATATTAAGCATCTATACTTATTATTATTTTTTTAACTTGGCAGATTGTGTGGAATCAATAGAGAAAGAATTTATTTTTCATCTCCTGGAAAACAAGGTTGCTGTCTGGCTGATGAGCAGCAGTTCTCCTTTCCAGCATGTTCACACTATACTAGACAAACTAGACAAGGTGCCAGATCACCCTGTTCCATCTCACCTTAAAGATGTCACTAACACAAGAAACACAGCTATGTATATCTTCACATCAGGAAGTACAGGTGAGGATGTGTACTAACAAAATACAATTGCAGCTCTTTGAAAATTAAGGTGGTACAAATTTAACAGTAAGGCAGGCACGCAAAAAGGCAGAACTTGAATTTTTAGGTCAAGATAGTGGGGAATTCACTTAGTTACATGCATAGTACACTTTAAACCGTTTTTGCCCTGTCACAACAAAGAAGTAATTCCAGTTAGTGAACTTTCACATAGATATTCCATGGCTGAACTTTATTTCTTAAATATAAGGCCAATAAAGTCAGCCTCTGACAGCAGCTCAGATTCCATTGTTACAAGACTTCACAGGTCTATCCTAAAAATAAACATGGCCAACACAACTGCTTGGTCTTGGGAGGAAACTTTTCCTCTGAGACTGTCCTGAGTAATAAAGTTTCACCTTACCTCACTGGGAAGGAAAGAGGAATCCTTCCTCTAGTCAATGTTATTCCTATGGAAAATAGTTGAATGGTGCAGTAGCCACCAAGAAGCATTCCCATTCTTGCTTCGTGCAAGGGAACACTGTGTGCACAGTCAGTCTGCACTAGCCTGTGAAGGGTATGGACTTTCTCCCCCAGATGAAGCACCAGAGGATTAAATAGCCTTAGAGGCAAAAAAGACTGAAAAAGCTGGGAGTCTAAGGCGATATACTCATGAGGTAAAGACTGAAGGACAGAACAGGCAAAGACTCAGAAGAAACAACAACTGCCCCTGTACATTCCAAACATCATTCTATTTGCTAAAATATTATTAATGCAAGCAGCACATTTACAATTATTTGCTCTTCTCCCTTTGACAGGTTTCCCGAAAGCTGCTGTCATCACTCATCTAAGAGCTCTCTCTGCCTGCTTCTTATTTACTCAGTGTGGTGCAGTTCCTCAGGATATTATGTATCTCACTCTTCCCTTGTACCACATAAGTGCTTCTCTTCTTGGCATCTGCGGATGCATTGAATTAGGTAATATTTAACTTCTAGTTTCATTAACTTGAGAATGCTGTAACATATTTTTATTTGGTAAGTAGCTCAGTTTGGTAACTCAAATATTATGTCTAGCAATAGACTTTTGTTGTTTTCTTATTTTTACCACCTTCTCCAGCCTGTAAATAATATCTAAAGCATATGCATAGCTTTTGAAGCTTAGAACAGACAACAACTGTTGCATAGATGCAATACAGTATGACCTGAAGTCCGTGTATCGCTAACACCACTGAGTATGTTCCGTAGATTTAGCCTGAAATCCTATCTGTATCCTACACCAGAAGTTTCAAAGGGTATACTCATAGGCATCTGAGAAGTCAGGCTTGATTTTTAGTGTCAGAAGGTACACAACCATTGTGGAAGCTTTAACTATCCTTCACAATAAGGTCAACTAAATGTGTTTTGGAGCTTTTTGAGTCACATATTTGAGTAACACCTACAGAATTAGATTCATGATATTAAAGTGAAGGAAGGGAAGAATGGCATAGCCTCCCCATCTGATTCTGATAATATTTGTAGAGGGCTAGCAATAAGATATATTTTCAGATATATCCTCCTTCCTGTCTTTAGAGTCTTTCTCAGATGTTGTTTTTTGGTATGGTAAGTATGTATCTGGACTGTTTTAACAGCCATTTCAGTGCTTTGTTTCTTCAGGAGCAGCAAGGGCAGGCATGTTGGGCTACAGCAACTGATAACAAGACTGCTGCTGCCTAACAGAAACAAAAAAACAGGATGGGAAAAGTAGTGTATAAAAAGGTTTGAAGCTATGATTTGTATTGGAACAGAAAAAGTAGAGTAACAGCTTTCTTAGATGGGCCATTGAGATGAGGACTCTGGGCACCCTCGGATTCAAATGACAAGGCTTGAGTAAGCAAGGCTGAAGAGCTCTGAGAGGGTTTCAAGTCTTGCATGAGACAGTACCTGGGTCAGGGAGGAACTGGCAAGGTAGGAGCAAGTGGACTAGAAGGGATTTGGAACTTGGAAGGCATTGGTAAGCTTTACGTGGGACAAATAAGACTAAGGTAAAAAAGAAATTTTGAAAGGTTAGAAAAAGGGAAATTTGTAAATTCTTAGCTGACAACACATAAAAAGCTGTGAAAAAGGGACAGGATGGCAGATATGAGAGGTCTAGGCTGAGGTGGCTTTTATAATGGAAAGCTCTGAAGGAACTTCAGTGCCACAAAAACAAGAAACAGGAAAAGGGAGTGCGACAGCCTCTGAGCTGGTTTCCCTTCCACCACTTCTCACATAAATAGAGAAGCTGCAAACTGCCTTCTCCTCCATCCCAAGCTCTCTTTTTTCAGAGTTACAGCAGTCACCACCTTGACAGAAACAAAATGGTTAGGCTTTGACCTCTCCCTAACAACTGCAGAAGACTAAAAAGGCTCGCTTCTGCTGCCGCTGATACTTTAAGTCACTATTTGGAAAAAGAAACAAAGCTCCATTGTGCTAGTCACATTTACCAAGGAAGATCTTGCCAGAAATAGCTTACAATTTACTTAAATGGCTGAAATCATCATTAGTTGAATTAAGAGAATCACAACTTTTTTTTTTTTTTTTTTTAACAGTAGTGGTAGAAGATAAGAAAGCTTTAAAGAGGTTATTTTGAATTTTCTTGTGTTTTTGTCACCTAGGAGCAACTTGTGTTTTGAAGAAGAAATTCTCTGCAAGTCAGTTTTGGAATGACTGTAGAAAATACAATGTTACAATGTTTTTGTACATAGGAGAACTCTGTCGCTACCTCTGTAACCAGCCCTGTGTAAGTTATTGTTTGCAAATGCCGCTTGAAAAAAGAGCAAATCTGTATTTAATCACTCATACAGATTTACCCATTTCTCAGTGGTATTGTATTTTTAATGTTTGATTATTTTTTTTCCAGTGTATGTAAAATTTGGGTCTTGTGTTCCTTGTGGTTCTACAATAGCAATCAAGTTTATACAAGCAAACATAGTGATTACACAGAAATAAACGGGGCAGGATGAGATAGCTATGCCCAGACAATCACATAAATTCCTCTGTAAAGCCAAGATTGTTAGCTTTTCATCTGAGTGATAGGCAAGAGGCAGGTCAGCAAGAAAACAGTATAAGCAGTAGAAGTTTTATTGGACTCAATGATCAAACAAGAGCATGAACCAGATTAAACGATTAACCATCTGCACTGCACTGTTCCAAAGTAGTTACTTATTAAGAGAAGACTACTCTATTCAGTATGTAATGGCTGACAATTAATTTTTATAAGCTTTGAAACTGCTGACTGCCTTTTTTTTCATTTTTTTTTTTTTCTGATGAGACGTTCCAAAAGCACATTTTGTTCCATAGATATAAATATGATGCTATACTTCTCTGTACAAATCCATAGTATCAATAGTGTGAAAAATCTTGGTCACCCCTGTCCAGAAGAACATGGGAGCTAAATCATGATCAGGTTTAGGATAAAATTAAGATGTCACTAAACAGAGCAGCAGCAGACAAGCAAGCCTGAAAATATTTATTGTATTGCAATGCTTGCTTCTCGATGATGGTGGAAAAGATTGGTAGATTTTCTTAATTTTATACTTGGGAGTTAGGAAGTTACTGAAGGGAGGTGACAAGTATTCCTACCTACCACAGAAAACATCATGTACAAGCACAAGGTTCAAATGATCTCCAACTGCATTGGTTGGGGATTGGCGCAAGAACTAGCAACAAGGGAACATCTGAGAGAATCCACCAGCTGGTTTAAACAGAGACCTATTATTGTGTGGTCTGGATGTAGGAGAAGGGTCAAAGACAAAAAGGTATTAGAGGGAACATGCCAGGAAAGCTGTTGGCCAGAACTCAAGTCTGTACAAACATTATGTCCATGGATCAAAAAAAAAACTAAAGGAATAATTAGCTAGGCCAAACTAGTTGTGTAAAGGTCTCTCCTGCAGGAAAAGGCAGGAAGAAACTTCTTTGCTGGGCTCAATAACAAGAATTTAACGGAGAAGATATTGATATTAAACTCGCAACACGTAAGAAGAGGGAAAAACAGAAACATAGCCTACCTGAGTCGAGGAAGCTGAGGATACTTATAGAATTGAATCAGGCTACATGGCGAGATGGGGTACCTTACCAAAGTATAATACATATAACCTCTAATGTACCACACAAGTTCTTCTACAGTGAAAGGAACCTGTGCAGGCTAAGAAGCCAGCCAGCTACATTTCCCCTAGACTCCATGTGCTGTGGCATTAGAGCACAACAGTCCTGCTGTTCCCAGTCCTAGGACTACCTAGGATGAGGGACCCGTTGGAGTACAACCTGTTAGGTCATATCCTGGATGTCAGTCCATTCCTCCTTTCACAGACCATGCTTAGGCCTCACATTGAAATCGAGAAAGAACATGTATTTGGTAACTAGGAGGCACTCTTGGATTTCTTGATGTAAACAGAGACCCTAGACACTACTCTCTGACCAAATATTTCACCAGGAAGCCTACCCAGCATCCGTGTACCTCTCACAATTAAATTTTAAACATGATATCCCACAGAAGGAAACAAACAAACCAAATGTTATGTTGAGGAATGTGTTTAAAGAGAACCATATAACTTCTAAATTGAAGATATTTTAACATTCAAGGTAATGCAGGGAAGTCCTGCAGATCGTTACACCAGCGATGAAACAAGGTAAGTATAACAGTTTCTCCTATGCTTATAATCACTGAAGCTCCTGAGATGTGCTCTAAGTCATAGAGTCTCGCCAACTATTTTGAAAAAAAAAAATAATAAAATTAAATCCATTATTTCATCCTGAAGACCAAGTGCTGAAGAAGGGACAATATTAGGCATGAAGTAACTCTCCCAATCAGCCTATCATCACATGCATGTGATCAAACCATGATATTCCTTCAAGTTTACCATTAAAATTACAGAAGAAAATAGAGTTCATTAAGCAGAAGAAGCAGGGAAGTCAGCACTCCTGTTTTTAACAAGTGGCGTTTAGCCTGCGTTACAGCTGGTCCTATTGTGGTAAATAATTTATCTCCCATAAAATGGACTTCTGTATCAAATGAAGTTTTCTATTTGAATCCAGAATTCAAAAAACAATTTTATGTGAATATTTTTAGAGGTGCAAAAGTTGAAACACAGATTCTGCTAAAATATTTCAGTGTAATTCTTAGGCAATGTTCCATTTTGAAATTACCTTAATAATATTTAGAAATCAAACACATTTTTACAATTTTTAAAGTTTAAAATAACACTGAAAGGGAAACAAAATACATTTATTTGGTTTGCAGAAACCATTCCTGTGGACCTGAAATATTTTATTTTCTGCTGTCTTGACTATAGTCCTATATATAGGGTGCTAAGCAGTCTGGCCTCATGCAGAAAACATTTACTTAAGTAAGGACTTGAGTAGTTTGCCACAATAACGACACAATTGACATGTAACAATGACACATTAACAACTACATTTTGACTGCAGATTTGACTACCATCTGTTCTGAATTTGGATTTAAGACTAAAAACTGTACCTAATCATATGAGATGTGGTAAGGAGCTTTAAGTCATTCTGCTGCTTTTTCAAGTTCGTTAGGCAACACGTCAAATGTGTAAAATTTACTACCAAATATCATTACATGTAGAAAATAATTCTTTTAAACTTTGTAATATACATCTCAGTTACAGAATCTATAAGTGAAAATACAAAGAACTACAGAAATAAAGTTTTTGCCTTACAAAAATCTTTCAACCTCAGACCAACAAGAATTCTGATGATTTTCTGTGTGGTTTTTACAAAACAAATACTCTTCTGTGAAATATTTTAGTCAAAGTCACAGTTCCTAAAGGCAAATTGTTCTAATAGAAAATTTTAGATTAACTATAGGTACTTAGACCTACTTTTCTAAGCTGCAGAATGTTTCTTTTTGGCTGTTCACAGAAAGAAGAGGACAGAGTTCACAAAGTGCGCATTGCTGTAGGAAATGGTATCAGACCTGACGTCTGGAAAAAATTTCTGATGAGGTTTGGCCCAATTAAAATATTTGAATTCTATGGATCCACAGAAGGGAGTGTTGGTTTCTTGAACTATACTAATAAAATAGGAGCTGTGGGCCGTGTTGGCATCTTCTCAAAGGTAAATGTAATCAAAGCAACCAACTAACCAGTTAACCAGCCAACCAAAAAAAAATGCGTATGAAAGGCAGAAATTGTAAAAAGCAGGATAATGTACAAAGGAGAACCTGCTTACTACAGTCCAGATGTAGAAAAATTTGGTTCATGGAAACAGAAATCTTATTCTTAGCCCCTTACTTGTCTCTATTTGCTGTACATATATTGTGAAGCTAGAATAAATATGCAGAATAAGTCCACAAAAGCTGAAAATGCTGCTTTGTGTATATGACTTCTTTCCCCAGAGCATAAAACCCCAACCTGACTCTATAGAAAGTACCTATCTACAGGGCTAATTAATGATGTTTTTGTTGAAGTTTACTCACAGATCTTAAGTGATAAGGCAGAAATTAATTTTGATTTGACTTCTGCTATGTTCTAGAAAAAATTTACTCTTTGACTGTGTCTTCACTCATTAAACCAATGCCACTTATTCTCCTCTGAAATAAGATAAGCAAAACAAAAAAATTCAAAATTCTCAGCAAATAAATGAGAAAAATAAAATCATCACGATATCCGAACTATAATATTTATATATATGACTACTGTTGAAACTTTCATTGGAGATACACAACTTCCACCCCCCAAATGCTTTTCATATTTATACAGACACTTTGTGAATAATGAGTAATATACTACAATAACATACTATTCAAATGATACTAAAGACTCAGATCAGCTAATATCGAAACCAGATTAGTGACTTCCAAATGATTTCTGCTTTTAATCCTAGATGCTAAGAATGCCATTCCATGGCCATAATAACAACTCTGCAATGCTTTTGATCTTTTAGAAATCTTAACTATGCGGACAGGGGATGAAAGCAGGAAAGCCTAAATCAAACCATTGAGCCCTAAGTTTCCACTTGGATCTGGCTGGAGTAATTTTTGAGATGTCTGTAAATTTAATTTGGGTTCTTTGTCAGAGAATCTTCTTGATTTGCATTCCAGTAATGTTAAGACTATATTCAAAAACGGATGATAGTTTTAAAGCAAAAATGACAATTTGATCAAAAGCACTGCTTCAATTTATTTTGTATAAATGATTTTAATCTGACCATAGTCTAAAACAATGGATTTCTTTTTATCAATAAAGGAGATGAATACTTCATCTGTATATGTATATTTAGTGTTGCTTACCATGGTATGAACACTTTCTGACAATTGCTTCCCAGACTACTGTCAGTATATTTCAGGCTGTTCCAAATCTTCCAAATTGAAAAGGGTATTATCCATTAATTAAAGTGATTTTAAGCAGAACAAGTGAAAAGTGAATGAGATAGTGAGATTTTCAAGTATGCATATGAATTTTTTTATTTAGTTCCTACATTCTTTTGAGTTGTTGAAATATGATGTCTGGAAACAAGAACTTATGACGGATGAAAATGGAAGGTGTAAGAAAGCACCCATAGGTAAGGAAAAATATTAGTTATCTATCAACTAACAGACCTCAATTTAGATGTTGATATTTTGGGGCAGGGGTTAACTCTCTGTCAGCAACAGGTCCTTGACATATGCTGAGAACTTGAAAATGACAGAGGAAAAAAATATTATCAATAGATCCAAATAGGGATCTACTGCTAGTATACCAAATAATATATCCAAATAATGTAACCAAATATAAAAAAATACAATAATATAAGAATGAAATCAATATTCTATTCTCCAAATGTTTTTATTCTCATCTGCAAAACCTTGTTCACATTCCTGAATGAATCAGATTTCTTAGTGCTACTTTTTTTCCAAATTAAAATGGACACAGTAATTCCTAGATATGCTGTGTTCTGACACCAGATGTTTACAGATGCTTCTTAAATTCCAAGCTTAAAGTTCTGAGGGAGAACAGTACAATTTCAAAATCTAGATAATATTTTTCATATTTTTATGTTTAGTGACCAAATAGATTTAACTATTTAGTGCCTGGAGTTGTGTAGAATGTCCAAATTCCTACTTAGAATGGGATACTCCTACTCAAATTACTGAAAGTCCCAGGCTGAAAAGAGGATGGCCTCACAGCTGAAAATATCTTTGAGGAAAACCCTGAAAACTGTCTTTCACATAAGACAGAACACTGCGTTTTACTACAGTCACATTAAATATTTGTGTGTCTGTGCACATAAGCATGAATCTATATGTGTCACAGTTAACAGGTCTTGGAAAAAGGTCTTAAACATCACTAGTTTTAGTATGCAAACTTAACTTCCACTAAAATAAAATTCCAGAAGGCAATGAAGTGGCTTGTACAGCTGACTTAAACAAGAATATTTTTCATGCTAATGTCAGATCTCAATGACACATAGTGGTATTAGTGATGAAAGCAGCAATTATTATCAGTTATTTCTAATAATATATTATATTTTGGAAGTAGTAGTAGAAAACAAAGTAACAATTACTAGTTGTTTCTCATAATACCTTATTCGCTGATAATATCTGAAACAAGCAAAACAGTGATTATTTTTTTACTGAAAAAAGCTTGCTTTCTCACTACACTTACATTATAAACCGGACAAACATTCTTGGTTTTCAAGGAAATTGATAAAATGTCCAGTTTCATGACAGAGCTAGAAAAATTTTGCACGTTGTTACACATATTTTTTAGATAAGTCTGAAGCCATCACTTGATCTAATGTGACATGGTAATGACAGTAAATTCCCAAACTGGAGTAGAGAATCATCTTGTAAAACTGACTGGGGCTTAGGCCAATTCTTTCTTAAATTCAACATTTTTGGTTTACTTTTTCTTTTCTTACAAAGCATGCATTCTATTTGCAGTGATGCCACCTCTTCTGAACAGTAACATGAGCTTTCATTCCACTTTTCACATTAGAGTTCAAAACAATAAAGAGGATTTAATATAAGAGACAGACACACAGCTATGAAGAAAACTATTTGTTTGAAAACATCTCCATACCTCTGTTGAAGGAAAGATGATAAAAATCTTTAGAAGATGGAAATGTCTTTTAACCTCAGGAGCAGACTGAGAAATAAGCCAGTAGCTCTCATAGATACACAGTAAAAAAACAGCATTTTAAAAGGGCATCTTGAGTCAATTCCAATGAAATCAATGGAAGTTTTGCTCTTGATATAAATGGGACTTTTACCATCAACAACAAGGAGTCACGGCCAGTAGGAATATGCGGCAGACTCCACAGACCCCGTGATGTTCAGAAGCTCAGGCACATTATGGCTTACAATGTGCTTTTCCACACCAGCACAGAGTTGAGAGCAGAACAGCAGACTGTTCTGTCCTCCAGAAAAACATAAAGCACAAGAGGTTAGGCTCTGTGTTTTGCCCCCATGTGTATTGTTTGACTACCAGCACCTTTCTCAAAGGACAGAAGAGGCATCCTTTCATTAAGCTAATGCTTTTTCAGGGTAAATGATGCACGCTGTACTCCAAAAAGCTCTTCCCTAAGGTCTAGCTTTTCAGAAGAGAAGGAAGCAAAATTATTTCCCCTCTTCCACTCACCTATTTCTGCTGTTCAGGAAGTAGTTAAGGAAATGTCGCAATAAGATGTGTATAACAGATGTGGCTTTCCAAAAGATTTTTGATATGATACTTTGTGTTCTAAATAGCTGTAAATATGGGGTTTTTGCATTCCTTTTGCATGGCCTGCAGGTAAACCTGGCCTTCTAGTTGTCCAAGTTACTGAGGATGCCCCATTTTCTGGATATGCTGGAAACAATGAAGCCTCAGAGAAGAAACTCCTGCATAATGTGTTTGTGAAGGGAGACGTGTATTTTAACACAGGAGACCTCCTGGCAATGGATGAAGGTGGCTTCCTCTACTTTACTGACCGGGTGGGAGACACTTTCAGGTATGGTATGGAGTTAACAGTAAATCCAGTGAACTTGGAAGAAATCATACATATGAAGGACTGGATGACACAGGTCAGACTTGAAATTAATGAATATCAAATTTAACAGAAACATTAAGAATCACAATCAAAGTCCACCAAAGTTCACACCAATACATTAGAGATTTTCAAATTTCAGTCAAATGGCACTTCTGTTTCTTTTAAGTTTGGGGTCTCAAATAAGATGGTATTAAATCAGAAAAGAATTTAGGTGTCTACACTCTTCAGTTAAGAATAACAGTAATCCATATGAAAAGTAGTGTTCCAACACATAATAGATTCTTTAGCTAATACCTATGTTATTTTAAAAAATATTTTCAACAGGTGGAAAGGAGAAAATGTTGCCACTGTAGAAGTTGCAGAGGTCATTGGTATGATGGATTTTGTCCAAGAAGTTAACGTTTATGGTGTAAGCATAAAAAGTAAGACATTCCCTATAGTTTGAGAATATAAAATGAAAAATGCAAACACATATGTCATATTTTATCTTCTCTGTTCTTGCAACAGAATGCATACTTAGATGTAAGGAAATAAATGGTATCAAGTTAGCAATTCAGGCTTTCCTAAAGTGCTTTGAAATTTCAGTTTAATTAAAATGCTGTATTTAATAAACAAGATACACTGAAATTTTGTAATAAAAGGCAGAAACAAATGCTAATAATGAAGAATCATAAAACAGGTGTGAGAAACACAAAGTTACAAACAGTAGAATACTTCTTTCAGGCTGCAATCTTTCATCTAAAAAACAGAAAACAAGGGGCATATTACAAGATGACATGTCTGAAAACACCTGTCACTATCTTGTAAGTACAGTCCTAGAAGATATATATTTTTTCATAATTGGAATTTTCCAAATTACATATGGTGCTTCTAAAAATATAAAATACTATCCTGAAAACCTGTACCAACTAAATTACAGGATGAGGTGGAAAATTGCTCAGGAGATGCATCCATTGAATAACTGGGTTGAGAAATGTAAACTTTCTTGTGGTGCTGAATGGTTCTATGTTTCCTTCACATTAAGGCAAATAAAGTTTTGTATTAAAAGAAACTAGTCACATGAAGAAAAAGCTGTCAAGAGACAAGGTGCTGCTTAGCACTGAGAGATGGAAAACACTATTGATTTCTAGAAAGAGAACATATGAAAATAAAATGAACAAAAGGCCATAATCTGAATGGTTGGTCAGCAGTTGGCTGCCAAATGCCAATATGTTCATTTGTGAGAGATGGCGTCCTCAAGAGCTTACTTGGAAAGCATATCTCATTCTCATCTACAGTTGGAGCTCACAAGAACTCCTGCAATCTCAGACAGTGAATAGCACATCAAAACAAAACCTGAAGAGCTTAAGAATCACATTCATTCCTGGTTGTGGTGTTAATACAATCTAAATAGCATAGTTTTTCATATTTCTGAATTAACTTGAGTCTCAAATATTGCCAAAACAAACTACATAGCATATTACTAATTAAACTACTGCAGGTTAATTTTCATGAAAAGGGAGCACCCATATTTTATCTTCCCAGTGCCTTGGCCACACTTCAAAGTTGCTCTTTCATTCTGGTCACACTGAACCATGGCAGCTCATTTCTTCTAATTTAGATGTTTTCTGTGTTTGAAATTTTCATTTCTGTTTGAATTAAGAGAAAGCAGGAACTATGTTTGTTACATCTTTTTTTAAAAGCGTTTTTTATAATTTTCTGCTTGTAATTTGCTAAGAGGCACTTCCCCTATTTGTCACTAATCTGTCAGTGGGATAGAGCAGAAAACACTCAGCACTGCTTATACAATGTACAATAACCACTAGATTATATATAGACCAAGCACAGTCTCATATCCATCTTTTTTACTAGTGTTTGTGGAATTGTGTCCAGCTTTTTACTGAACTAATGGTCATGCAGTATTTTACTCGGCCACTTCATTACCAATGTTAAGATTGAGCAAGGCAGGAAGAGAACTTAGCAGCCAGCTGCCAGCCATACAGGATTCTTAACAAAAAGATGTCGGTGACATGTTCTTAATTGAATAAAAACACTGAAAGTAACTTCCAATATAAGGTCTTCCAATATAAATTTCCAGTATAAAGTATTGTATTTTTTATACTCGATGTCTGAGATGATAGGGCAGATGTTTCACAATATTAAAATGTTAAATCACTCCAAATGTCATACAATTCACATACACTCTCATGCATACTTGTTGTATTATTTCAAAATTTTTTTTAGACTATGAAGGAAGAACAGGGATGGCAGCTATTGTACTTAAACCTAACCAACCCTTTGATGGAGAAAGACTTTACAAGCATGTTATGGACTTCCTTCCAAGTTACGCCCAACCACGCTTTGTGAGAATCATGGTAAGACAACTAGTTGCCTTCTACTTGTATTTACCTTCTGTCTTACCTGAAAATTGGTCTCTCTACAATCATGGAATGCCCAAAGTAATTTATAAACAGCTTCAAGAATTGAAACACAAAAGGTAATACTAGTCTGAATTATGGTTGATTTTATAATTATGAATTTAAGCAAATATTTGATGAATTAAACTTACATTTTGCTTTAAGTCACACCTAAAATTCCTAGATGGGATTACAAACTTGGTAAATTTGGATTTTTTGTCAAAGCTCTTCATTGCGTTCTTCAGTGGAAGACTAAGCAGATGCACATGGGGAATGTTACACATAACTGTGTTCTCTTATAAAAGGATGACATAATCCATTTAAAACCTTCTCCTGATATGGTTGTTTTCGAAGTCATTATTATTCACTGTTACTGACAAAGCACCAAAGAAATATCTAGTTCTTTGCAACAGATAGTAAGATAAATACTTTACAGTGAAGATCTCATAATCTAAGAACTAAAATGTACCCACATGCTTTAGAGTTTAAAAGCAGAACTGGGATACTACTCTTTTTTCAAACATGCACCTTAAAAGTGCAAGGATTACAGTCCCGGTGTACTCCCAACAGGATGACCTTTTGCAACAGGACATGAGAGCGTGAACTGCAAAGAGCAGGAGAGGTCCCCACATTACATCTTCTGAAAGTTTTTAGCAGATAAGTTTCCTGCTGTTAGGGGATGCTGAGAGGCATTCGGCTGTTTTGCCTCCCCCTAAATACTGACAAATTGTCTGAAAGGCACAAATTTGTTTGAGAACAAGGTGGGAATGTAACAGAGTGAGTGAGACTGCAGAGGAAGAGGAGAAAAAAAATGCATAAATTTAGGGAGAAGTGAAATCTTTAAGAGAGTTTAAAGACTTGAGGACAACTATTTTTTTCACTAATAGGTTACTGTACTAAGTAAATACGTCTTCAAATGCAGTTAGCATAGTTTATATTGCCTGTGGTGCCTCAGGGCAGCAGCGCCCTCTCCTGGGAAAAGCCTCTGGAATAGATTTGTCTTTATGGTTCCATTAGATGGAAAGAATCTATCTGGAGCTCTATGGTGTATATACGCAGAACTGATTAAATCTGTTTGCATTTATATGTTCTTTGACTAAAGTTTTTCTTAGCTAATTGAAGGGAGCTTACTGCCAAAGATACTATCAATACTAAACAATGAGTATTTACACATGTAAATTCTTATTAAAGGAGATAAAACCAATTTTATAACAAAGTCAAAATGATAAGAACCATGCTGTTACTTTAAAAAAATCTTAGGGGGGTATAATGGGATGAATGCTGAATTCACCATTTTCTGAGTGGACAGAAAGTGAAATCCCTTCTGAAAAAAAAAAAAAATGTGTCTTGAGAAAGAGTTCATCCTAACCAAGAGTGACAAACTAAAATATTAAATTCTCACCAAAAAATGATTTAAGATAAAATAAATCTTGAAAATTTTTCAGCAGTCCATATGTAGGCTCTTTCTAATATGACCTGCAGCCACAGTAGATCGATTTTGTGAAAACCAGACAGACTGAGTTGTTCTTCTCAGCCTCCCTGACTTGACTCTAGAAGACCAGAGGCCTAAGGACAATGATGGAAACAACAAGGGTCCTCCAAGGCTCTGAGATAGTTTTTTCACTTGACTTTTGCTAACTTTATTTCTTATCTGCAGAAAGATATTAGGAAGAGGTTTGTAATAGCATCCAGGAAGTTATTTCAGTTTTGCGTTACTTGTGCTCTGTTCCGTTTTGGGGTTTTTGGTTTTTGTTTTGTGGTGTGTTTTTTTTTCAGAACTCATATTTCCATGCAGAAAAATCTGACTTTATTAAAATAACATCAGAGCATCACTTAAACAGAAAAACTCAGCAATCTGTATTCATAACACACATTGAGAATCTTTAATACCTGTCTTTAATAAACTTTTAATCTAATCATTGCAACTTTTTATATAATTACCGAGACAAATTCATGCTACCTATTCAATTTGAAGCAATCCCGCTTGGTAATGATTGAACACTATCACCATCTGGCAGCTATTCACTGCCTGTGTGAAACAACTTGGTGGTCTGAGTGTGGTTCCTATCATAAACGCTGCCAAAAGACAGAATGAACTGGCAAACTTACGAGCAGTCCCAGCTCAAAAGCCAAAGACTAAACGCTCTGGGAGTTGGGGAAACGTAGTAGTAGAGTGAAGAAGAAATCAGGCATGTTACAAATCAAGAGACAAAAACAAGTAAGAACTGAAAAGTAGACTGTTTCAGCATGAGAATTAAAAGAAAATGTTGACTACATTGAAAACACTATACAAGCAAAAAAAAACATTGCTTGAGAACGGTGTGTTTTAAACTTTTCCCTTAATATGGCCCACGTTTTAAATGAGATTATTTTTATACCAATTCTGCTTGCATTACACTGACTATTGTGTGCAGACCACCTTGTTCAATAATTGGCATTTGAATAACTGCTGTAGAGCAACTGCTTACACAGAAAAATAAAACAGGAAGGCACTTAAGATATTTGTATTTAATGTCTTAAATGAAGTTTAGCAGTTGGACATCAGGGAAATCAGGGGAGATCCAGTACCGTAAAATCAGCCAGCTCTCTGCAGAGCATCATCAAGTGTCCCACAAACTACAGATTTTGTGATCAACTGCACTAATGAAAGTTAAAGAAGATGCTTATTTTGAAACAGAAACCTGCTAGGTTGCATGTGACTTTGATAAAGAAATTAATAAGAAATAAAAGTTGCATTTAGATTTAGGTTTCACTGCACCTGTGAATTACATCATTCTGTCTGAAAAGATTCTATAGTAAGATTGTATGATCTATATTCAGTAACTGTATCATATTTTCATTGATATAGGCTGAAATGGCATATTGTACTTTACTTGAATTATTTTTTTTTAGGATGTTATGCAAATTACTGCAACTTTCAAGCATCAGAAGATGCATCTGGTGAATGAAGGGTTTAATCCAGAAATTATATCTGAACCTCTGTATTTCATGCATGAACCTGCACGTTCCTATATTCCTTTGACAAGTGAGATATATAAGGATGTAGTTTCTGGTGAAATACGTTTATAAAGCATACAAATGAAGTTACTCTACAATACAGGAAGTAAATTTCAAATATACTTCTGCAATTATTTCAACAAAAGCTAGTACATATTATTGGTTCTAAAAACATTAGATAATCAAGTCAGTCTTACTGTGATACAATTTGCCTCTTCAGAGCCACAACTGTTACGTACATTGCGTAAGCTGCTCTGCATCTGCTCATATTACTTCCAGGGCTCACACATGCAAATTTTTATTTTAAATTTCTCACTGTTCTAAATTCTTTTCATTTAAGCCACCAGTATCTTAACTTAGTTGAATATTTTACTCTTTTAGATAAAAATACTGATTCTGGTTTTAGAATACATAAATGATTAGATGCAAAATGTCATAAACATTAATATAAAATGGGCAGTCAAAAATACAAGCAAAATACCGCACAAACACTGCATGTAGACTTCAGTTCAATGTTTGTTCATTATACTATGTAATATCTAATTGCTTAATTCCAGATTTTTATGGAAAATAAACATTCAATGTCAAAATTCAGTTGTAGTACTTAGTGGTCATTATTTTTTCACAAATGATGCCAGAACTTACACAGACTGAATGATTTGCAAACAGTCATCCCTGCTGGCACACGACCTCTTCCTCTATTTACCTATTTTAATATTCCTGAAATAGAGTTCTCATGAAAACAGGACAGACATTAATATAACTTACAGCTTTTGTTGGATGTGAAGACCTTAAACTTGTTAAAGGTGTTTTAAGTTTCACAGGCAGAAGGAGATCAGAGAATATAATATTAGCACACCTGTTGGATGTACTTGTTTTGACTGCACATATCTGATTACTTTCAAAAATCAAACAAGTCCACACTTATGTGAGGGAAAACCTTTCTCCTATATATTTCCCTGAATTCATATGATCTTTTATCTGGATGAGCAAAACAGCTACCGTATTAAGATAATTCTTGCCCCATTTGGAGCCCATTTTACAAACTTGCATGGTTAGCTCTTTCCCATGCATGAGACTTACTTTTTCCTGGTTTTCAGCATGTGCTATTACTACCACTGCTACTACTGCTACGACTTCTGCAATGCCCTGAAACATGACAACTGACCAAAACAGTATTGGTCTATTGTAGAAGCACAGAACAGAAGTCAGCTGCATAAAAGCTTATTATCTAACACAAGAAACAATTTGACTAACAAACAAACTCGGTTATGATCATAAAGGTCTGAGGTTTGTAAGCCTTGATGATGCAGTGATCTCAAAATCCATAATGGGGCCTCTGCCATTCCAAGTTACAACAAGTGTGTGACAAGACCTGACACAATCGCTAGAAACTGATTGCTTGAGATCTCGAAGCTGGTAAATAAAACAAGGATACAGAACTGGACAGCGTATGATATCCAGCATAAATACATCCAGCATACTACATACACCTACAGCACATTGAGATCTCCCACCAGACACAAGGTTTCTGAACCTGGAGTGAGATAAGCAGAGCTCCCTGGAAAAAACAGTCTCCCAAGCTCATACTCTTAAGAATAGTCTGTTTGTGGACTAGGAGGAATACTGAGAGCAATACGGGTTTGAGGAGGGCCTAAGGAATTCCAATGGTCTGAATTCAACATGTGAACGTAGATCACCCAAAGATCTCCTTTGACTGAGGCAATGAACTTCTTACAGCTTGCTAAGAATTTTCAGTTTCTGGGTGTCCGAGTCTCAAGAAAGGAAAGATTCAGTTACTCATGGTTCTTGAATATAGTGGTTTCTCCAACTACTTGTATTGTGGTCTTCTAACACATGAAACAGTAGGGCTCATGTAGAGCTCTCCTTATGAGCTGTGAGCTCATTTCCAAAATATCAATCATTTTCAGATCATGACATAGTATGGAGACAGATCTGAACTGGCTACTGTAAATAAAGTATTTGTATTTTTCCTATCATCTAAAGTTTTATATAAATACACACACATGCATCCCCTAAACATGCATAACATCAAGCTTTATGATGGCTACCCCTACAAAACTGCTGATATCAATACACTCAATTAAGTTTCCAACATCTAGAAAGGTTTCAAAAGCTCAGGCAAAAGTCTGGTCACTTATCTGGCTTTATTTTTATTATGAAGATGTTCTATAGAACAGTGTCTGTCTGTCATTTCCTCCTTTATGCCTCACTCTTTTCCTCTCTATATTCAACTCCTTCCCAACATTCACTCTTCAGAAAAAAGATAAAGAAGAGCACAAGACAGCAGTTCTGTCCCTGGCTGCACAATTAAACGTCAGTAGCTTATTCAGTTGCACATATGCCAACCAGAAAAAAGTTACATTATGGAATTGACCATAAGCATAAAATATTCATACAAAAAAGTATGTATGAATATAAAGAATGTACGGAAGTATTCATACAATGTTATCAAAGAAATGTTCCACAGAGAGACCCTTGGAGCCCTATAACTTGTTCATAGCCTGACTTTAAAAGAACAATAATATTTGTTGCGCTATTCATATAAATTTGATATCGTCATCTACTAATCTCAAGAAAAACACTTCAAGGTCTACAGGTGATAGTCATTTAGCAAGTAGGCATCATTTTGTGTCTATGAGGCCACAGAAAAAGCTTCTAATATAACACAATTTTGTAGATAGAATAATGTACTTAAATGATAAATACTGTACCTGATACAGCATACTGCTTTCAATAAACTGTTCTGCACATAAAGGAAGTGAAACAAATACCCATCACAATGATTTTATATTGACTATAAATCATACTAACCTGTAATATTAGAAGCTTTTGGTTTAATTTTCTATACATTGCGATCAAGAACCTCAAGCTATATACATTTTTTTAATATATTTTTTATATATTTTTAATTATCTTCTCTAATGAAATAAAAAAAAATCTCTCCAGTAATTGAGAATGACGATGTAAACAGATAAGGGCATAATACACTTAGTCCCAGGGGGAGTGATACTTAGAACAGTTAGATGTCATTTGACATCAAAGCATGCTGGTAAATCAATGGGGACAAAGTCTTTACTGAGCATTATAAGCTACATAAATTGCTATCAAGTCCCTACATTCATATTACCATATAACCTTAAAAGGAGCACATCAATTGTAAGCTCTCCACAGCAAAGAATCTTTTTTATTCTGCTTTGAGGGTCTTCCTGAGGGTCATAGAACCTCTCAAAACTGCCTTTCATTTCATAAACAATTCTTTTATATGCCACTAAGCCATATCTCACCTGTAATCTTTTATAATAATTTGTTGCAAAGCAATTAGAAGGTTTTTCATTTCAAAATCAAAACAACTTAATCTACTGAAAGAAATTACTATAATAGTAGTAAGGAACCACAAAACTAATCTGAAAGCTTGTTTTCACAGGTATGTAGACACTACACGTTATGACTATGTGAGTGCTATCTATATATTTGGTCATTTTAGGCACCACAAGATGGTAGCATTTCTGAATGTTACTGGTACTTGCTTTCTTCTCTACTGTTTCAATGAACAGAATTTTACAAAACAGCAGGAGTCTATTCTTAATCACAGAATGGTTGAGGCTGGAAGGACCCCTGGATGTCTTCTGGTCCAACCCCTCTACTCCAGCAGAGATGCCTAGAACCAGCTGCCCAGATGGCTTTTGAATGTCTCCAAGGAGGGAGACACCTCACCCCTCTGGACAACCTGCACCAGTGCTCTGTCACCCACACAGTATAGAAGCTTTTGCTGATGTTCAGAAGGAATATCCTGCGTTTCAGTTTGTGATAACTGAAACATTGCCTCTTGTCCTGCCACTGGGCAACACTGGAAATAGCCTGGCTCCACCTTCTTTACACCCTGCCTTCAGGTAGGTGATGAGATCCCCCTCGAGCCTTTTCCTCTCCAGGCTAGACAGCACCAGTTGACTCAAGACTTTCCTCACATGAGAGATGCTCTAGTCCCATAATAATCTTCATGCTGTACTGGTCACTCTCCAGTATTTCAGTGTCTCCTGGTAGTGGGAGCCCACAACTGGACACAGTACTGTAGCCGTGACCTCACCAGTGCTGAGGAGAATCACCTCCTTTGACTTGCTGGCAACACTCCTCCTAAGGCAGCCCAGGACTGATAATTTTTTAAAATGCTTTAACAGAATTGTTTTCTGATAATAAGCATAATATTAGATGGCTCCCAGAAGCTCGGACAAAAGTCTGGTCACATATATGGCTTTATTCTTACTATGGAGATAAATTATAGAATGCACTGTCTGCCTGTTATTTCCTCCTTTCTCCCTCACCGTTTTCCTCTCTACATTCAATTCCTTCCTAACATTCATTCTTCAGAAAAAGTTAAAATAAAGAAGAGTACAAGACAACAGTTCTATCCCTGGCTGTACAACTACAAGTCAGTAGCTTATTCACCTGCACATATTTACAGGCAAAATTATGTTCCACTTCATCTGAAAGTGTTAATGTTTTCTAAAAGCCCTAGAAAAGAAACAGTATCTCCTTCATTTCCAGTTCAGTTCAAAATTGTAATTTAGTATCTGGTTTAAGGAACAAAAGATTTGTTAAGAAATTTCTGTCCATCAATAGTGGAGCTACCAGTACTTCTTTAGCTACTAGCACTTTTTTAGCTACAAGTGGACTGCAAAATACTCTTGATAACCTGGGGAAGCAATAAGATGGAAAACATGTGAAGAACTAAATGCAAAATGGAATGAATTGTACCTACACAAAAAGAAAAATACCCAGCCAGCAACTTTTTGAAGAGGATGGTGTATTGGTTAGAGTGATTAAATCAAAGGACATGCCTTCTGCGGTAGGTAGAAGCAGACCAAGGGTGTTCATTCTCCACCAGGCCATGTAAAGCAAGCTCCAACCAAAAAACCATTGAGGCTACTCCGAGTACAAAGCACAATGACCAAGATAATTTGATCTGCATAAAAGCTTGTTCTTCCTGCAAGGCCAACATGGTTACAGACAGCTCAGACCACAGAGAGAGGAATTCAGCTATGTTTGCAGTGATCTGTGAAGATACAACCAAAAATGCTAAAAGGTAATTGTAATGACCTCTAGTAATAATAGCACATATCACCCACCTAATTAAGCATGCAAGCTGCCTCTAAAAATGCTTATCTCATCTGATAAAGCTTTCAAACCTGGGTGCTTTGAGCTGCACTGAAATTAGATGTCCACAGAATAGTGAAGTATAAGCCCTCTTTAAAAAGACTTTATTTTCACATTGGTCTCCCTTCATTTCTCCCTGGCCCTGCAAAGCCTTGGGGTGAGCACACACTTTGATGAGCTGTGAAACAGCAGTCCAGAAGTTATCTCTGGGTGAAGAGCTCTCAGTGCCTGAACAATGAACCAAGCACCACTTCCACGGTGAGAGAAGAGGAAGCTGGGTATTATGAAACACTTTCACACACTAACAGAAACTGGTAGACTGCTGAGGAGGATGTGAAATATGTGTTGTTGGAGGCTTTAAAAAAAAAAATAAAAAA